CCTGTAGGGTGGGCCAGTCTTATATAGTGCTGGCCCGTCCAGGAGGCTGCTCTTGCCAATGCCAAAACGTGCCAGACCCTGGCGTTGAAGTTCAAACAAATGTTGTCTTGAAAACAGGCCCAAAATGGCCTGTGCTAAAACCCTGGTCTGGTGCCTAAGTTTCAGGGCAGGTCGACTTTATGAGGGCCTGAAAATGGCCCTCGTTTTCAGACTTTTAGGCTGAAACGAAACAGGCCCTACACCTACGGACCCCTAGTTTACCTGGTCGGGCCCTGCTGGGCCCGTGTGGTACTGAGTATGCCACACCCTATCTCCCTACTTGGCGCTCGGCGCCCAGCCTACTTCCTACACAGCCACAGTCTGCCTACTTATTGACAATGCAACTGTTGACGTCAGCAGCCCACGAAGTACTTGAAGATGTCGCCCAATGCAGACCATCGCCAATACCAGGTATGTGCCCTCACATCATCATCATCATCATCATCATCATCATCCTTCTCTCTCTCCCCTGACTTACTCCCACGTCTTCCCTCTGTACACCCGAAGACCACCCCTGCGCCTCACTGTAGTCCAACCCCATCCAGCTATGGAGGCTGGGCTATGGCGCTGCCGTCAGCAGCGCCCTGCTCCCTGCACGACCGCACGCACTAGCACCTTGCCTCTCAGCGCCAGCAGCAGCCCACGAGCATCCGCTCCAGCAGTGCTGCCGCCAGCATGCAAGTGCTGAATGAGGCTCCAGGCGGCGAACTCTTTCCTATATGGAAAGAGCCTGCCTGCTTTCGCAGCCTGGCTAGCCTGGGCCTCGGCCCAGAAGCTTCCAGTAGGCCCCAGGATGCTGCGCCTCTGTTGCAGCTACTGGGCCTCATTCGGTTGGGCCTCCCAACTGTCTGTGTATGAGGCTGCCATTCGCGCCCAGGGCCTGCATTTTTGGAAAAGCCCGGAAGGCCGTGGAATGTCTTTGCTGTTCGGCCTGTGTTTCCTTCCAATTGGCGCGTCGTAACTGCCTGGACCCCAAATACGAAATTGGCAGCTGAGGGCCTCTCATGATTTGTTAGGCCCGCCTTCACTTAGGGCGGGCACATTTGCAACAGGGTCCCCTTAGGCCTGCTGAGGACCCAGATCCTCGCAGTTGAAATGTTTTTTTTGTTAATTTTATTTAAGATTTTCCCTGAAGAGATCACAACAAAATCTACGAGCACCCCAATTTTCAGATTTTTTACGCATTCTTCTGAGCGCGAAAAATCACTGAAGTTGGGATATTTTTTCTGTTGGTCCGCACATGGCTCGTTGGCAAAAATGAAAAATGTGCCGAATCGGTGTGGCGATGATTTCGAGGTCTCAGTGATTTTTTGAAAAATTTCTGATACTTTTCATGGAAAGACCACGAGCTGATCTATGGATTCTCAAATTTTCAGATTTTTTTGCTCATTCCTCCGAGCACAAAAAATGGCCAAAGTTGCCTCTTGCAAATTGTGGGACTGGACCTGCCGGTACCCTCCGCCTTGGACAGCCTGCAGGTGGGACTCCCGACAACGCCTACGCTTCTTACTTCTTTTCGGGGTCCGCTTCCACCTGACGACTGGTGGTTCCTTTTTCCAAGTCCCGGTTCTAGAAGAGCTAGCTGTAGGTCGTCGGAATATTGCCAAGGATCAGTCCCCTGGAAAATTTTAACCCCTAAGAGCCCCTTGTGCGCTCGTCGCCCACCGCCGAAAATATGCCACCTTGACACAGACGCCGAAGCCCACTAAAACGCAGCCTTAGGGCTGCGAATTGCAGCTTCATCTTTCCAACCTACATGTCGTATATCTCAAAGCCTTTCTCAATCAAACCCCCTCTCCTCTTTGTGTGTGTTTGGGTGCAGACATCTCCCCTCGCCTCAATCTCCATCACTGTCTTGTTTGCGAACATACTCCCCTCTTCCCACAGTTCCATCCACATTGCCGAAGGCATGCTCACACCAGAACTCTTCTTGTTGTGTATCGTTGATGGTGTGCGCTGTATCTTCACTCATTGGGGAATCAGCAGCCTGTTTCTTTATCTGCCTTGGTTCTCTTTGCCTGCTGCACCCGCCTTTCCTGTTCTCTTGCTCCACACACCAGTGTCCCGTTCTGTGTCCCATGCAGGCAGCCTAATGATTCAACCTCTATAGCATCGGAGATACATGACACAACTGCTGCGCAGGACTGAGTCCCCTCTCAGGACACAGCCCCGGACATCCCATGATTGGAACATCACTTGGCTTTCTTGCAAATTGGCCTGCATGCGTAGACCAGACTGAGGATTTGCAAAATGACACCACTCTGAGCGAATGCCATTCATCGCAATTTAAAAAGAAGTGGAAAAAAGAAAAAAGAGCAACACGAAATATAAGAACACCAGGTTAGATCAATGCCTCCTCTGCTCTTTTCTCCCCGGCTCTGCCATCATCCCTCACCAAACTGCTCCTCCGCTTTATTGTAAAAAATGTAATAACAATTAATTAATGAATAAACAAATAACCAAGAACCGATGTATGAAAGATCCCCTTACTGCCAGTGTAGAAAGATCTCCCATTTAGCACTCTCTCTGTCTCTCTCTCTCTCTCTCTCTCTCTCTCTCTCTCTCTCTCTCTCTCTCTCTCTCTCTCTCTCTCTCTCTCTCTCTCTCCACCTAGATGAGCTGGTAGCTATGGCAGATCATCCGTGCTGAACACCGATGTTTAAAGAACAATACCACTACTACTCTGCTTCTCCCTCCTACAACGGCCATAGCCTGCCTCACAAATGAAGTGCAAGTCTAGTCGGTACCCTCCAGGGACCTTCTTGGTGCAGCTCCAACCAGGTAAACGAAGATGAAGGTGCACCATAGCCAAAGGCAAGTATTCCTCTCAGTCCCTTCTTCGTCCTCCACTCACTGGACTACTTATTGCACCAACTGATGTGCACTTGCCCCTCACCCTCTAGGGTCTCTACACTCTCTACACAAGTGCTCTCAGCCTCTACTGGTGCGCTTGGCTCTACGGGGTCCCTGCCTTTTTCGTAGGAACATCATTGCAGACTGTAATCCTACCTACACATTCTAATTTCTAAATCATGACCTAAATACAACTAGGTACGGTCCTGATGACATCATTACCTACTGATATCCTACCAGACTACAGGGCCTGTCGGAGTTGCTGGGAAATCCCTTCCAGGTCCTTGAAAATCTCTACCTCTACCTTTGCCCCCTTTGTAGAATTTCTGTTCAACCTGCCAGTCCACGGACCTAGCCTTGCAAGATTTCTCCATGGCTCTCTCGTAAAATTTTGGAGGCTCAGGGACCAGACCACAACGTTTGGCGGCGACAGCCAGAAAATGAAAAAAGTGCGCTGCTGGCGGTTCAGCAAAGCTTGGCGCGCAGTGCGTTGCTGCCAGGCCCACGTGGACTGGTGGTTTGTCCTCCTGTAGCCAAATTTCAGGAAATATAACTACATCTATATGCTAACCTATCCCTGGATGCATGCTGATATTGTTCTGGTGCCCATGGATGTAGATATGCACATTATGGGATGTTAAGAGCAGCAATGATGATAGACCAAGAAGAGCGTGGACTAGTCATGGAGCTTTTGAAGCAAAATCAGGTATGGCGTCTCTCTCTCTCTCTCCCACTCTCTCTCTCTCTCTCTCTCTCTCTCTCTCTCTCTCTCTCTCTCT